GAATTTTCGTCAGCCTGGGATTTCTGATTAATCTTTGCTTTCGCTAATTGTGAAGTAACCTTTGTATTGGTCAAAAACAAAGACTTTTTGGAAATATATTTTATATAGCGGTGTCTCTCTCTTTCTCTCTTTGTGAATTTGTGCAGGTGAGAAATCGTGCATGCAATCAATGATATCTCAGGACTCCCTATTTGTTTGAGCCCTGTAATAGCAGTTGAAAAACGAAAAAAAATTAATTTCTAAAATTTTTTTGTTTAATGTAGTTGTTTCCATGTAATTTATTTTATATAATTAAGTGGTATTTTTATTAAAATACATGCTAATGTCACGTTCGTCTAGAAAATTGTAGATTTTTTTTCAAATTTTTCCTAATTTTTAGATCAACATATCATTCGTACATAAATACTTCACTTTTCGATCTTACATATTATCAGTTCATCGTTGAAAGTCCATGTTTTTAAAAGTTTTCCGGATTTTTATAAAATAGATATAAATTTTTGAAAATGAAATAAAAAAATGGTGAATTTGTATATATTTATTTCAAGAAAAATTCAAACTTTGTTTTATTATAATTTCATTACAGTTAATATTTGTTAGTTACAAAGAGTAAAATATGTTTGAATCAAATAAGGAATAAATTAATATCTGACAATAGTATACATTAAAATTGCAATGATTATTATTTATACTAGACCATGGATCATAACATTTTTTACGACCCTTAATTCTGGTAAATAACTGTCTTAAATTTAAAATTACATTCTTCTTTCAACAAAATAACAACTTTTTTTGAGGAAAACTTTTCATTTTTATCTTGCTAGTATCTGAAATACTTCGAAAAGCTTTTTTTATTGTTGAATAGTTTGAATCAGTTTCTAATGATAAAAAATAAGATAAAAAACTTTTTTTTCAAATCCATGAATCGAAAAGGGTATAATATGTCTTAATAAATCATTTACCAGATACCCTAACTGTTAAAATTATACTTTATACTGACTTAATAAATCATTTACCAGATAATTATTAAAATTATACTCCATCACTGTAGAATCATTAATTCTGTTGTATCTACAGATTTCTGGAATTCTTGACATTATATCAAACATTTTATTTCTTGTCTGCAGTAATGCAACTTCTACACCACATGTTCATCCAACTGAATATAGTACTTGTTTCTAATATAAAATAGTTCCAAATGTTATGTAGGAGGGGAAAAAAAGCCGGCAACGTTTTAATTTAAAAAGTGTACATTCTCAATTACTATCATCTCTCGAAAAGCGAAGCGAAAAAAGAGCGAAAGGCGGAACGAAGGAGGAGGAGGAGGAGGAGGAAGAACGGCCGGGTAGGTAGCATCCCATCAAAACGGAGCATTATGCGCGCAAAAACCGCACCGAGAGCACTCAAGACGCGCTCCCTCGTTCTCTTTCGCGAGTCAACTAAAAAGCGCAAAGGAAAGAAGTAGTGGGTACCTATATGTAGAGGAGAAGGAGGAGGAGGAGAGGAGTGTGTATAGGTGTACCCTTGTGTGTACATAAAGAGAGCGGTAGCAGCGGTAACGCTGCTGGAGCCCACACACAGCGCCCGAGGGGAGTCCAGGGGGAGGCCGGAGGACACAAAAATGTAGATGGACGGGGGAGGGAGGGGGGAGAAGGCGAAGACACGCGAGTTCGCTCAAGGGGAGAGATTGAAAAAATAAAAAGCGCGAGAAAGCAGGGGCCGTGGCCACGATTTCTGTGTCCTTATGACGAGGAAAGAGAGGAACGAAAATTAATGGAGGACTCCGCGGAGGCCAGCAGGACGACGCCCGAGAATCGGAAGTAATCACGAGAAGTGGGGGAAACATATGTATCTCTTTCTCTCTCGTGTCCGCGAGCNTACTGATAACTCAAACTATTTGTAAGATGTATTTATGCAATATTGAATGTAATAACCGTAAAAATTATTTATGTAAAATTATTACATGGAAACTATTTTAAAAAAAATTTAATTAACTATTATCTTGAAAATTAACACAATACAAGACAATACCAAGATTACTCTTGACTCTTGTAAAGCTCTAGTTTTTCGTAGTCTATATAAATTGTGAGAATCTTGGTTAATATTAAAAATTGACAATAACGAGTTTTCATTTATTTATTATTGCTACTTTGAGACTACAAATGTATTTTGATGTTTTTGGCGATGTACAAATAAATAAATATTTGTTTTATTTAATTTTTTAGTTATTCATTTCTTTACCATTATTTATTTTTTTTTTTTTTTCAATGCATACAACAGATATTAATATTCATGATTGAAAAAAGTGTGATCAGCAAGTGATATTGATATTACTGGCTATTGTAACATAAAAAATGAAACACAACATATACATGTAGAAGAAAAATTTTTTAATCTTCATTAATATTAAAAACAAAAATCATCATTACAAAGACACGCATTAGTATATTTCGGTCTTGAACATTGGTACAAAAATATTTGAAAAATAATATGTAATTTAAGGGATACATTCGTAGAGCCCTAGAAAAAAAAAAAAAAAAAAAAAAAAAAGGAAAAAAACGAAACAGTATTTTGAAGGAAAGAAAAAAACCATCATCATCTCTTAACATCTTATTTTAACGAACGAGCAAATCGCCACCACCGCGCTCACAGTTTAAAAATGAGGAAGAAGAATAAGAACAAGGAGAAGAAGGAAGAGAAGAAGAAGAAGAATCTATCCACAATACTAATGGATTTGCTCTCACAAAAGCGGCGAGTTTTAATTCTCCGTTCAGACCATTAATCTCGAAAACAGACAGCGCGATGCGCAGCGATGCGGCTATATACACATATATACATAATATACCCACACCGGGGGCCAGCGCGGACCGAAAGGAGCGGGGGGCCCCTAAGGAATTCGAAGTTCGGCAACACTGGTTTGGGTCAGTCCTGCGCGTCTCCCCTCTCTCGCCAACCCATAGGTCCCCTTCTCTCCCTTGCACCTCCCCTCGCACGGCAGTAGGCATTGGGGCATTAAGCGGGTAGTCACGCTTGCGCCGCGAGACTGACAATATCGATCTGCCTGTGTCAAAGGACGGGATTAATAAACAGCGTAATATACAACAAAAGAAAGGCCCAAGCGCTACAGGAGGGGGTGTAACTGCTTATCGGTTCGCGAATGAGCGATAAAAAGAAAAAAAAAAAAAAAAAAATTGATATGATTCGGCGTGACGGGTGAGGCGCGAGTGTGGGATGTGTACCTGTTGGGACTGCTGGTATCATCGCGCAGAAGGACGGAGCACATTATAGGAGGGAGCGACACAGGCATCCGAGAGTTACCGAAGAGCGAGAAACTGCAGGCAACCTGCGTGAGTATAATATACCGGTACTCCCCCCGTCTCTCTTTTGCGCTCTTTCTCCTTCTTCTTCGGCTTTATATATGTATACCTTCTTCAGTGGCAGTTAGCATGAATACATTGCGTCTCCCCCTTTTTTTTTTTTTTTTTTTTTTCAACTCTGGCTCTCTGCGAGATTATACAGCGTTCTCGTTGCCGAGCAGCACTGCGAACGTTGGTTAAATCTCGTTCGTGAAATTTTATCGATCGATTGAACATTTTGCTCTGGTCTTGCGTACCGTGATACGTATATGCATGTGTCTGGCAAGAATATATAGGTACAGGTAGAAATTAAAAAAAAAAGTGAGGTATTTAAACATGTGATGCTGTGGGTGTGCGGGAGTCGCGGTGAATTCAAACGCTTTCGAAATCGATCGGTATAGGTATGGAGCGAAATTTATTTGCAACAATATATCATGCAAATATGTGTGCTACACTGGTACATGCACAGAAAAAAATATACTTAGTTGAAAATAGTCGGATAGTTACTTATGCCATTTCGATGGTTGAAGCAGTTATTGGTTAAATAAACTATTTTTTTGTTACAATGTAGAAAAAAGTTATGGCAGCATAATTATTTTAAAAAATGTATACAATATACTTTAACTGTTTCAATCATTCAAAAAAAAAAAAAAATTAAATAAATAATTTAAGGAATCTATTGATAAAATTTGTATGAATGACAATCGCATTCAGAGTAACATACCTATCAAAATTTCAGGCACCTTAGCTTTACTGTTTTTGAGAAATCACTTATTTATTCAACACGAACTCGTAAATATGGAAGAGAGAGTGTTTTGAAGATTGCATAAAAAAAAAGATTATCTTATAAAAGTACATGTAAACTAAAAATAATTAATTTTTTATAGGCGGTAGGTATCATTTTAATGTTACTTTGAATACTATTGTTAGTTTATAAAAATTTATCAAAGGAATTCTCATATTTATTATTTTTTTGATACAACCCCTTTAAGAGCCAAAAAGAAAAAGAGAACAACAATATTTTGTTACCAAACGTCAAAACATTGTAACCATTCAAAAACAAATTTATAAAATGCAATAACAACTTTACGTGTTATTCAAAAAAAAAAAAAAAAAAAAAAAAAAAAAAAAAAAAAAAAAAAAAAAAAAAAAA